AAGATTGTAGCTGTTAGGGTTAACTGTCTTAGCCTTAACACCTATAATACTATTCGGAATCTCTGGTCCAGGATGGTTATTGATCAATTAACTAACGCAAATGTTACAGTATGTATGCACAATACAAGGTGCCAATCAATAAAGTGGTCTCCGTATAGTCCCTCTTAATTTTGGCCCTAAACAGAAAGGCAGAATATGGGGCGAGGGCAATATAGCTATTAGTAGAGAGCGTGTTGAGAGCCGTTTACCGAACTGAAAATGATCGACTATAACAGATTAAAATACTTAAAGCAGAAATTAGCATCTCAATACTTCGTTGAGCATTCAGATCACATCGGTATCTCTTTCGGTGTTAGAATGTCACGTATGGCCAAATGACGTGTCCATCGTCAACTCAAACAGGCAATTGGTAGGCGAACGTTTTTTGCAGTGCTGGTTGCCTGCCGCAAGTGGCAAGAAGTGTACGTCGGCTTTCACACAGTCTTAAACTACAAGCCTGAACAGATCACGAAACACGTACAATGAAGAGAAGCCAGAATTTAGGAAGGACAATAGATTGCATGCAAACACAAAAGACCGATCGAAGTCAGTGCATACCAGCGCCTCCAAGTCGTCCTCTCCGATCGATCGGGTTGGCGATGATGATGGAGGCGGGGGGAAAATCAGCTGAGCGTTGGTCTTGCGCTCGGCCCCAGCAATCAGCTCTAAACGCGTTTCAACTTCCGACTGACGAGTAACGTAGAAGTCATCCGTGAAGAGATCAAGCGGTGCAGTCTGGCGCATGGAGTAGAAGACATCATCCGGTGATTGCGCGAAGAGAAGGTCGTAAAATAAGAGGCCAAAGAAGGTTGCGAATACACGAGACTCGGAATGGAGACCTTCAACAGGGGAAAGATAGGAATACTAAATATTCGTCGATGAATGCTCACCGAACGCTAACGGGACTCACTTGTTACGCTCTGTCCTGCACTGGGTCTCATTTCTCGAACCCAGACAGCAGCCGTAGCAGCTGCAAGTATAGGCAGATAGTATTGTCGGCAAAGACAAGGGAGACTGGAATGGCCATTTCTGGCTTATGAGTCGTCGTCAGTCAGTTATATCCAGACTGCTACTAGCTGCTGTCAGGGTCCGAGAAATGAGGCCTATGGCAGAGCAGGGCAAGAGGGCTCCGTTAGCGGCCGATGAACGTTCATCAATGAGTGTCAATACCTCCCAACCTAAACCGGCAAAACAACAAGTTCGTGGGTCAATGGTTAGAGCGTTAGACTCTGATCAAATGCCACGAGTCCGTGGCTCGGAGGGTGCACCGCTTGGGTGTGGTTATGACTGGCTGACGACTGCTAATAATCCAGAAATGGCCATTTCAGTTTCCCTTGTCTTTGCCGGCAATATTATCTGCCAAATACTAAATATACCTGCTCCTACCATTATCTAGATGTGAAGAGAATAGGTTTGGCTCGGGATGCACTGTCGATCGAGATGCGGACATGCTTGCCTCGCGCATGACTAATAAAATTACGAATTGAGGCAAATGTTCGCATCCCAGGTATGTGTGTAGAAAGAGAAGTAGAAGGCGTTGTGGTCACCGGAATCATACTTTTACTTGTCTGAGCTTTCGGGATCTTTCTGGAGTCCATCATCAGAGATAAAAGGCATAAACAAAAGAGGAGCAACAGTTAAAGGACGCAGGGGCCAATCAACCGTTATGGGGGGGAGGGGG